GCCTATTTGTATATCAATCTTTGCATCACGTTTAGACCAGTGGCCAATACAGTCATGCCATAAAGTGAATAATTTCAAGGGTAAACACTCTGGTTACCATGGTATTTGCCTCTTATCATACTGATCTTGGCATAGTAAAGATCAGTAGAGGATGCATGTATAGTCTTGACCACTTTCTTATGGCATTAGGCGATTTTTTTTTTAAGCTGAAGGAACTTTTATTTCCTTTGTCCATTGTTTCAGTATGGAAACCGTTCTTATATCTTTATATCTTATATCTCAATGGACTTCTCTGGGTGAATATAAATCATGCTCTTTAGGCAATAATACAATGTCCTGGCCGTGGTCCTCTATTGGACTTACTATACTTGCAATTTAAACTCATCTTGGCATTTTTGATAATGAAAATCATTCATATTATTAAGCAAAAATCAGACAAGATAATAGCAATAAAATAAACTCAAAGAAATCAGACAAGATAATAGCAATAAAATAAACTCAAAGAAATCACATTTTTATAAACAAAGCGTAAACAGCAAACAAAACAAACACCAAATCAAACAAAAACACAAAAGAAAACAGAATGTTGAAATTCATTCTCTTTGGAAATCTGAAGTCTCATTATTCGTAAGGTCATCCTGCTCGTGATCAAGATCATTTTCCCCATCATGGTGGACCAAATGGGCTTCTGGATTCTTCTCTTTCTGGCTCTCTTGGTATAGGTCACAAAAATGTCTGGGAGTCCTACGATTCTTCGCCCAATGGTTGTCCATACCACCACGTCCTCTGCCTCGACCATGGCCAAAATTGGGTCCCCAACAACGGTTATAGTGCTTCCCATGGCCATGGGAGCTATAGTGTCCACGCCCACCACGTCCTCTCCATCCACCAAGGCTATGACCGTGTGGTTTATCACTCTGGACGTGGTTACTTTCTTTAGAATCTTTCTTTTCTTCTATAGCCTTATTAGCTTCAGGTAATGGGGTTGAGCCAGGAGGTCTCATCTCACTGTTAATCATGAGAAATTCATTATTTAGTCTCAGCCAGTAATAGGCATGAGATCAGATCAGTATAGGTGGTGAAACATCTTTCTCTGTATTGCTGTTGCAGCAACACATTACTTGAATAGAATGTGGAGAAGGTCTTTTCTAGTAACTCCTTCTCAGTTACCTCTTCACCATAAAGTCTCATCTTTGAGACGATTTTAAATAAAACTGAGTTGTACTCATCCACAGACTTGTATTTCTGGAATCTGAGATTCCCCCACTCATATCTTACCTTTGGTAGTAAAACCGTTTTTTGGTGATCATATCTCCGCTCTAAAGCAGTCCAAAGGTCTAGAAGATTTTCAATAGTGAGATACTAATCTTTTATACCCTCAGTGAGATGATGGTGAATAATACTTATTGCCTTGTATCTATTTATATCATTCTCATTGTTATCCTCGATGATAGTCTCACCAAGTTCTTTTGACCTCAAGCAAATGTTAGTATCCAATGCACATTGCAAATAGTTATCTCTAGAGAGATTAAGGGCAGCATGGTCCAAATTGGAATTTTTCGACATCTGAATCAATATTATCAATCAAGGTTTAGGGTTTCTAACAATCAAGTTATATGGATGGATATCAAAAAAGAAACTCGGCCAAACAATTTCTAATACGACCATGGTGCAAAAACAACCTAGGGTTCGAGTCATATATGTAATCAAGATGATAAGGCCACACGGCTATGTTATATTATGATGCAAGCAATCGAATTCAATGAACAACTATGCAAGAACTTTTAAAACAATGTGGATCCATGACATTAGGTTTAGGGTTTATCAATCCGTATTACTATCATGCAAAAAAGAACTTTAAGAAAAAATCAATGACCAATTCGGAATCTATGTTAGGTTTAGGGTTAACAAATTTAGGGTTACCAACTTAGCAATATGCGCATAGGGTTTAGGGTTTCAAGTTGTAACAAGTAATCAACCTTAGCTAATAATTCTTAAACCTTAAAAAAATTTATAAAATTAGCAATCAGATTTAGCAATATTAGATTTAGGGTTTTCAAGGTCCTTTTAGGGATTCAATTCGTGATTAGGTTTAAACATACAATCAATCTATCAACCTAAACCTCAAAACATCAAACAATTTATTCAAACAAGAATAATCATCAAAATCGGATTCAACTTTAGGGTTTAGGGTTTTCGATTCCAAAATTAGGGTTTAGGGTTCTTAGATCGACCAAAAAATAAATTAACCAAAATAATTTTTAGGGAATCAAGTTCTTGCATAGTATGCTTACACATACATGCGGTTTGATGTTAAAGTTTTAGGGAATATATTATTCAGGAGTTTATCAAGATGATCGGATGACATTAGAATGGCTTTAGGGTTTGATCATTAAGTTTTACGGTTTAATCAAAATACCTTTGATTTTGTAGGGTTGAACCGGACCACCTTGAGAAGAAGAACCTCGAGCTGGATCGCGAGCTTGGAACAAGCTTTGAGATCGTCGGGTCGCGGTAGTGCTATCGGATCGCGAACGGCTGAGATCGTCTTGTGGTCGGGATTGTTGATTCGGGTTGCCGGAACTGATTGTCGAAGGAGCGGCTGGTCGGCATTGAATCTGAGAAGGAGGATCGCGGATTAGGGTTCTTCGCGAGCTAGGGTTTTTCCGGAAAAGGAAAGAACCAAAGGTGGATGGTCGGGAAAAGGAAATCCGCATCTAGGGCTTTCACCAGAAAAAGGAAAGAGCCGATGAGGCTGTGATCGCCGGCGAGGAAGAACTAGGGTTTTTTTCTGGTCGGGTTTTAGCTTAGGGTTAGAGAACAACTCGCGCTGATAAAGGGTTGTAAACTAATGAGAGAATAGAGGAATTGGTATGTATATTACTCATACCATAGAATCCCTTATATAGGGAATTACATGGGAGATAAATGGAAAGTACAGATCCAATACAAATATGGAAAAGGCTAATTCTAAATTGCCATATAGACTATACGGATTAGGCCTAGATAATATGGTTATGGCCCATCCACTAATTGTTTCATAATAACTTCTTTATTATTTGTTTAAACCAATTTATTTCAAAATACATTTTAGTGATTAAAACTCTAATTATTTTTATTCAGAAGAAAACTCTTCATTTAAGTTTTAATGTTTTAGCCCCATAACTTACAAAAAGTTAACAGCTGTCACCTACCATTAAGAATTATAGACGGAGGGTGACAGACGTTTGCAAATAGAGGGAGTTAAAATATTTAAAAAATAATTAAAGGTTTTTCTTATACTTCAAAATACTTGATGGGTTTTATCACTAAAAATGTTTTAATTTGAATTCAAACATTTTGGAAAAAAATTAAGTAGGTTAGTGTAACAAATGTCAACAACTTTCCTGATTAGATCCTTATTATTGTATTCATATCTAATTTTTTTTAATCGTTCTGATATAAACTCCAACTGCACAAGATACATGCAATATAAACTCTATAAATTAATAGTCAATAAATCAATAACTTTTATAAATTAATAAATTTCATTGGTCTCAACTTGGATCGTTTCAAAATTTGACACAAATCAATAAAATAATAAGGTAATATTTTTTAAAACATTCTATGTAAATTTATTGTCCCATTAAAATTATAAATTGTTAATCTATATATACATATGTTATATAAGTAAGATCCTTTCATTATATTGTTTGTTTTATATCTACAATGAAATTTATATTTTCTTAATACTTAATATATTTTTGATATATATTATAGATTTAGTAATATTATATTTAAAAATACATTTAAATTCTATGTAATATATATTACACACACCAAATAATTTTATAAATTTAAATAGAAATGTAAAATATCAAAAAGTAATAGTTAATGTCTATTCACTAAAATCAAATGTATTTTTATTTTAGAATAACTATATCTTAAAATTAGAAATCTAAGTAAGGAATATTTTGTAAATTACTATCTCTATAAATTAATAAAATTTTAAAATCTCAATATTATTAATATATAGTTCTTATGTATATTTGATTCGGATAATATATCATATATATGAAGGCCTTTAAAATTTCGTGTCTACTAATACCAGGCAGCAAGGCTTATACGAAGCCCAAACATGAGATTTTATATTTTGACAGATAGGTTTATACTAGGTTAATCCGCACAAATGCACGGGAAGAGAATTATATACAAAATTTATTTTACATATTATTTTTTATCTTGTGTTTTAACATATTATAAAAATAATAAATATGTATATAGTAAATGAAAAATTAGTAACTATTATGTATATAATTAAATTAGAGCGACCATCAATAAAAAATACACTTTTTTTACAACCATTTTCTATAAGTAAATTTAAACAAGAAATGATGTTAACGTAAATATATATATATATAGTACCTTTCTAATTTTGCTTTCTATTATGATCATTTGTATATTTTTATGATCATTTTTTTCTATGATCTTATATGGTTTTATGATCATTTATATATTTTCGTAAAAAAATAAAACAAATGATAACATAATTCTTAGTGTGCAACGTTGAATATTTATAGTAATTCATAATCATTTTTAAAATATCAATTCAAAGTTTGAAATTAAAGTATTAAATTTTCAATATTTTTCAATGCAAATTTTGAAATTAAAGTATTTATGTATTTGATAGAGAGAGGTATTTATCGAATCCGCTCACACTCAAAATGAAAATTCGGATATTTTTTCTTTCACTGAACAATCTATATTAGTAAGATTATTAAGACGACCATTATGATGTATTATTCTATGTAGTTCAAAAGTTTTAGATTTAAAGAAAAAAGGAGTAAATTATTTGTTGAATGTGAAAATCATAGTTTGTCCACAATTTTTTTCTTATTCACAAGATATTTGACTATAAGTTGTATAGATTGAAACGCTTATAATATAACACGTACTATAAGCTTACGAACTTAAAATATCTCGAATGTCACTAAGGAACAAAGCAAAAAGAAAAAAAAAAGTTATGGGAAGGGAGCTGTTTTCTTCATATCCGTCTCAACGACATCAAGCGCAAAGCCTTTTCTAAACCGAACCCAATAATCAGCAACCAGATTCTTTTTCTCCGGTCCACAAATCCCTTCTCGTGATGGCTTCAACGATTCAGTCGAGATTCCATGTTCTTCATCTCTTTTTTTCACCAGCTCCGGTTTGATCCTCCCGAGATTCACGTCTTGTGGTGACACCATTAATGATGGTAGACCTAGTGGTAATCTATCCCCTAAAACAAACAAAAAACCCTAACTGAAACTCATACCTATGACTATGAGAGAGGCAGTCCTGAAATATTACTTTAAAACTTTCCTTTATAAATTAAGACCATTAAACTATACATATTAGTTCCTTAGAATTTGGTAGCTAACACGAATGTTTCATAAGACTTTACCCATAACTTGTTTAACACGACAATTATTGAATTTTGTTCTTTTACAACGACTAGTTGCTTACCGCGATCGATCTGCCATGTACACCAAAATTTTCCATAGGACTTGGCAAGATTTTTAAGCTCCGGCTTCGCAACGAGCTCTGGGACCCTTGGAGTTACTAGAAGAGCCATTTGGATCTACAAACAACACATACAATTTTATCATCTTTGATTCTTTTATAAACAATAAACATAGCGAAAATGTTTACAAAAATCAAGAACCTCATAATCATGGGAATGCCAAAGCTTTTGTTCCTCTGGTGAGAGGCTTTCAAATAACTTCTCTGATACTATATATTCGATTCCTAGATATTTAACACAATAAGAAACCAATCAAAAATTGTAAGTCATATTCAAACAAAAGCTTCAATATTTAACGTTACAACCAGGACATCCCTTATATATTAATCTTGAAGCATTCATAAATGCACAACCTTGGAGAGTATGCTTACATGTCAAGCTCACAGAGCTTCTCAGCTTTTATTTTTTAATGGACCAACTTTGATAGGAATGAAATAATGTAACATTTAATTTCTTGCATTTAGGACTATAATATACAGACATTTTTTAATGGACCAACTCTTCTAGGTATAAAACAATATATTTTATTTCCTTAAATAAAAGCTACGTAATTACCTAATATGATTAACATATATATGTAATTAATGATTATGAATAATACATATTTTTGTATCCTCTCTCTTTTTTGTTTAATTTTAAATTATTAAAATAAATTAAACAATCATATTTAAATATATAATAAAAAAATTAAATTTTTTCTTATAGGTTATATGTTTAATTTTTTTAAAATGACCATAAATAACTAAAAATAGTAAAATCCCACATTGAAAATTTTATGATCAATGGTTTAACTTTGTTTTTTTCCAAAGAAGATAAAAATTATCATAAATCGTACGAATATGAAGTATCATTAGTAGATATTCATACTATAAATATGTTAATTTAAAAATTTCAGTGAAAAGGTTTGAGGTAGTAGATACAAATTATAGTATTCGAAAGATTTTTGTAGTTTGTTTTATTTTCTTCTTTTTTAATATCTTTTAGTTTGTTTAGATAATTTAACTAATTTTAAATTAGATTTATTAATAGTTTAAATATTTTGATTTTTTCAACTTTTAATGTTTAGGAAATATTTTTTGGGATGATTTCAGATATTGGTTACAATCCAATCCAAACTAAATTGAGTAGATCAAATCGAATCAAATCCGATAATTAGTAAAATTCAAATAGGATTTATGAGAATAATACCAAAATCTGAAAATACGTGTCAATCAAACTAAAACCGACGAAGTCTCAAACGTCCAGACCTATGATGATTTAAGATTCCAACATTTGTATTCATCATTTTATAATCGATAAATATTGTAGTATTGCAAAATGTTAAAAACTATTTAATGAATAAATATTAGTATAAAAATTTCACCCCGCGCATGCGCGCGGGTTATCATCTAGTTTATACTTATAATGAATGTGTATACGCACGATGGAATCAATGTCGATCAGCGATCAAGGTAGACATATATGTACCTATGAGATGAGCATTAGAGGAATTGGAATCGTAGACGGCACATTGGAGAAAGTCTTGGTTTACACGGTGACCGTAGATATGAACTTCGATCTGACGGCCAGGATCATGGCTATAGCAAGCGAATGAACACATGTGAAGACTCATTTGCCTGATCGGCTTCATGGACTGCATCATAGCCGTTCCTTTCTCTAGCATCGTTGTAGTGGTCTTCGTCGGATCACCCATTGGTTCCTTGCCTTCTCCGCTGCTTGCGGGACACGCCACCGGAACCTTATCACTTGATGCCATCGTTACACGACTAAAAAGGCAATGTTTTGTGTTACGATCTTATAAGAGAGGAGTGATGTTGCATGAGGAAAATATGACGTTGATGATTAATTGAACTGTTCAGATGTGGCGGATAAAAGCGATGTTACAAGTTTGGTTTTTGCGAACAAAGTTTACACGTGGTCGGTTTTTAAGCTCTGGAGATAGTATTGCACACTTGGCAATGTTAGCGACTCCGTATTTTGTGCTTCGTGCTTCCTTTTGACGAGTTCTATTTTTTTTTTGAACAATCCTTTTGACGATTACTGTAATTTTTTTTTTTAATCAATACAATTAAATTAGGAATATAACCCATTAAAATAGGTTATGTTTAACTAATTTTTAATAATATACACTATTTTATCCTTTTCAATTGTTGAGACCCATTTCTATAAGAATCCTTAGATATAGCGGCAGTTATGCTTTAAAAAAAAAATCACTAGACAGATTAACTATGTTTGATTTAAAGATGTGCCATTGTATCTGAATTCTCGGATGTAGACGTACCTGAATTATCAGATCCACAAAATAATTTTATAGTTATATACAATTTATTGAGCAAAAGGTTATATCTTATCAACGAATCGCAAAGCTACTATAAAAGTAAACCTTATGAATTGCTATAGCTGGAATCAGTTTACAAGATAATAAAAGACTACTATAAATATTCAGCCATTTATATAAATACATTTAGTTAAATATACTAAAACTTTTCTGAAAAAAAATCACACATTTTCTTATATCAATATTATTAAATTAGAAACATGTCCAATTGATCTTAATTCAGTCCAGTTTAAAATAACACAGCATCTAAATATAACTGCTTCTAAATGAATATTTTTTAAAGTCCTATTTTAAAGGGATGACCACCCCAAGTCCTATTTTAAAGGGAATACCATTTTGAATCATAATTTTAAAGAACAACATATATGGCAAAAAAATATAAAAACATAATTTTGTACTTTTTGTTATTCGGTGTTTAAATAAATATATAAACCATTATATATGGACAAGTGTGTAATATGAAAAAACCCTTATAAAGGTTAAAATTAATGCTCGACGTTAAAAATACATTTTTGTTGTCATATATTTTGTATTTTTTTGTTATTGGGTGTTTAACTAAAAATTCTTTTTAGAATTTAAACCTCTTATATGATTAAAATAACACATTAATTTATGTAGTTATGTATACAGTTACATTATTGACATATCTTTCTATAATGATATGATAATTATTCCTCATAATATCAGTTAAGAAATATCACGTTTAATTATTATATTATATACATTTTAATTTTTTTTTTAAATCACAAAATAAACATTTATAGTAATTTAATTTTTAATTCTCACCCTTAATATTAAGAAAGAAAATATATACTACTTTCACTGACTATTACGGTATAATATTTAATTATAACGAACTTTGATATATTTTGTCAAAAATCATTATCACACTGCAACAATGTAACTTACATCACAGTCCAAGAAATTAAAACTTATTCAGCTAGACTTTAATTTATTCAAATTTTAAACATTTTACACAAACATTAAGTTTATCAATTAACAAATCACCTGATGTTAACAATAGGGTTTAAATGGACTTTTACTAGATATAAATATTCATATAAATTTATTTAGCTTAAAGGGTTCTAAATAGGTTATTCGATTGATGTCAAAAAATAGGTTGTTCGATTAAAATATTTTTATTAAATGTGATTTTACTTAAAATTAGTAAAGACCATATTAACCCATTTACACACACACACACACACATATATAATATATATATATATATATATTAAAAATTTAAACATTTTTAAAAAATTTGTTCGATTTACGGTGCGAGTTTGGTTTGATATTGGTTTTCAGATATAACATTTTAAGAACTGCTCGAATATATAAGTTAGGTTTAACAGAGTATGAGATTTTGATCTTCGGTATCGATTCCGAATTGATTTTTTTAGGATACAAATACTCTCGATTAATTATGTTAGGTAACTATTAAAGAATATAACATGTTGTAATCTTTATGGATAAAGTTTAAAAATAATTTCTTAAATGTATATGACATAAGTGTATAGTTAGCAACTTGACATATTAAAATAACTACCAAAAATACATTAAATTTAAACACAAATATGATTATAATAAAAACATAAATATAAAAATTAAATTTTTAGAAAAAGAAAAGTAAAAAATATACCTACCTTTTTAAGGATGGTTCAAAATCTAGTTTGCTTTTAAAAGATAGATTTGTCGGCTTCCACAACTGAATTCGTTATCCTCTATATATGTGAAGATAGAATATTTCACATAATAGAGAGAAGAAATCGATATATAATAATTAATACATACATACGTAAGGCCTGGTCAAAGCTGTTATAGTTTTACCGGTTTTTCAAATAAAACCATCACTTCGCTTAAATGTACAAAAAGCCTCATCATAAAAAAATAATGCAAGCAATAAATTTTCGCATTATTATATACTTAGATCATATATATCATAAACTCACCTTTTCAACATTTTAAATGATCTAACAACATTATTATGCGATGCATAATATCAGTAAAATATAAAATTCTTATAAATAGTCAATTAAGAAAGAATATCGTTCCGGAGAGAGGTCTAAGACAGAGAGACCCTCTGACACTTTCATTTTTATTCTATTCACGGAAATGTTCGTTATCCTTCTAAATCACGCAGAGAACCAATGAAAGATAACGGGGATGCGCATCACGCGTGTGTGTCCTTTGGTATCCCACCTTCTCTTTGTTGATGATAGCGTGTTCTTTTGTAAGGTGGAGCCCTGTGAATATGAAGAAGTAATAAAAGTGGTCAAGAAATATGGACAAGCCTCACGATAATGCATTAACTTTGATAAGTCTTATTTACTCTTTGGTAAAAGAATTGGTCAGGACGTAAGACAAGATATTAAGAACACACTTGGGATCCAAAATGAATGAGGAATGGGTACATACTTAGGAATCCCAGAGGATATCAGTGGATCTAAATGTAAGTTTTTTGCTTTTCTTAAGGACAAGTTAAGGAGTAGAGTAAATGGATGGACTGGAAGGTGGCTATCAAAAGGTAGCAAAGAAGTTATGATAAAGTCGATACTGCTAGCTCTCCCAAATAATTTAATGTCCTATTTCTTCTCTCATTGGAGATTTGTGAGAATATAGCTAGTGCCATCGCACAGTTCTGGTGGAGTTCAACCCCCCCCCCCAAAAAAAAATAGTATACATTGGACAACATGGGATAAGTTATGCTTACCCAGAGAGGAAGGAGAGATTGGCTTTAGGATGATACATGAGTTCAACCTGGCACTGCTAGCAAAGAAACTATGGAGACTAGCTCAATATCCAGACTCTCTGGCAGCTCATGTTTGCAGAGGCATGTACTACATATTGAGTTCGCCTTTGCGTCAGCTTACTGTCAGTAGGCCATCATATGTGTGGACAAGCATATCGGCGGGACGAGAATAAATACTACTGGGAATTAGACAAAAAGTCCACTGAGGGTATGAGGTGAAAGTCTGGGAGGATCCTTGGATCCCTACCATCCCAGCAAGACCAACAATTCCATTGGCACCGGTATTGAATCCGAACATGAGAGTGAGCTATTTAATTAATCAAACAACAAAGACTTAGGATGAGGGCCGCCTTGCAAATTATGTAGCTGTTGCTGATATACCACTCATTAAGAGTATGGCCATTAGCTCACGCATTGTCGTGATACGTACTGCTAGAGTTATACAAGGAATGGACAGTATACAGTTAAATCTGGATAATGGGTAGCACGACATATTTTGATGAAGGAAGAGGAACCTGATGTATGTGAACCTAGCATCACAAAGCTTCAAACACATGCTTAGAAAGTCAAGGCACCCCAGAAGATATGCCATCTTATGTGGCAACTAATAACAGGTCATGTGGCGGTTACGAGCATTCTAAATCACATACATATGAGATATGATAACCACTGTCCATACTGTGGGGAACACGAAGAATCAATTACACATGCAATCTTCGAATGTCCACCTGCTTTGCAAGTTTGGGCTATATCTTCCACACCTACCAGTCCTGCCTTGTTTCCATTTCAGAGCACTTATGCAAACATGGATTACCTCTTCTGGAGGAAAAACTCTATAATGGAACCGAAATTAGATAGGGATCCTTATCACTGGTTAATTTGGTATATCTGGAAAGCTCGAAATGATAAACTGTTCAGAGGTATTGATAGAGACCCCTTGGAGCTAGCGCGTCATGCAGAAAGTGAGTGTCAGGCCTGGTTCCGAGCAAATGAGCAGACTACTCCATCATCCATAGGGGACGGAGTCGACGAAAACCAGAGCATAAGTCTGGGTAACATATCCATGGTGGATGGATCTTGGACTTCTACAGATGTTTTCAGCGGATGTGCTTGGGTTTGGAACGATAGCTCGGAAAATAGCCAGTTAATGGGATTGTGCAATTTTAATAGAGTGGAGTCTGTGTTGCATTCAGAGTTGGAGGCACTGCAGTGGGCAATGGAGAATATGCTTCAACATTCGCTATGACAGAGCTTTGGAACTGATTGCAAGGAGATGATCGCGATGCTCAGAAATCCCCACGAATGGCCTAGCTTCTCAACGGAATTTGAAAAACTTTTGACATTGAGGATTTGCTTCCCTGACTTCAAAATTTTCTACATTCCTAGGCTACATAACAGATTTTCTGATTCTTTAGCTAAGACAGTTAGATCTTTTTATCGTAAACTCTTGTATGTAGGTTGTTTATTCCAGTCTGATTACCCAGACCACCTCAACCTTGAGTAATAGATCAACTTTTCGTTGCCAAAAAAAAAACGATCTAAGAACGTGAAACGAAAACTCAAACCTCTGAAATCTTAAAAACTTAATTACATCAACACTGAATCATTTTGCCACACCATTTTTTATTGTGAGTACAAGTATATATACAAAGCCTTGATCAATTGCATA